GGCCTTATCCACATGACAGCTGTACCAAATACATGTATAGTTTTGTCCACTCACTCCAAATCAGTTGAAGAAAGTCCTCCTTTTTATTTTAGAGGGAAAAAATTCAATATTTAAATTTAACATTATAAATGTAAAATACTTTATTATAAAAATATTGGGAAATTACTAAAAATTAAAAAATAAAAGGACGGGGTAAATTAACTCTAGCACTGCCATCCAGGGGTCCAAAAACCCACTGCCACTGAGTAGATCCTGACTCATAGCGACCCTTTAGGACAGAGCAGAACTGCCCCATAGGGTTTCCAAGGCTGTAATCTTTATGGAAGCTGACTGCCACATCTGTCTCCCATGGAGGGGCTGGTGGGTTCAAACTGCCGACCTTTCAGTTAACAGCTGAGTGCTTAACCACCACACCACCGAGACTCCTTCACCCAGGGATAAACACTGTTAAATTTGTGTTAGATTTCCTCTTAGCGGAAAGGCTATCTATGATTTAAAAAAAAAAAAAAAAAAAAACTCACCCTTTTGGGGCTGTTGCTAAGGCTCTTTACTGGGTAAGTAAAAGACATCTATCAAAGTGTCTAGCACCACTCTTACAGCGATTTGATGACAAGGAATCCAGGTGTTAAGCACCTTATCAAGAAAAGCAAGCACATCTTTTCCTTTCCTCCTGAGCCTCTGGTCTTCATTAGGACGCCTACAAAACTGCCAGTAGCGATACTATCTCTCCAAAACAAATTCAGACGAGACACTTAAAAGTCATAAACGTTCATGTTTGGTCACAACCCGCCCCAGCTGCAGATGAATAATGGTTTGAGAAAGGCTCCATAGCTCACAGGTTAGAGAAAGCCCTGCATCCCTGAAGGCACAGGGAACCAGTGCTGGCTGGTGAGAGAAGGGAGAGAGAGGGGCGTGGAGTTCTCCCAGAGCCCAAACGCTAATGTCTGGGGCATGCCGTGGCCAATTCTGTGGCTGAATAAATCAGAAATCAAAGCTTCGGCAGAAATGACTTCAGTCCTCGTCAGCCCACACATGATCCAGGGAGTCCAGTTGCGGGTCAGGGCACAAATGCGCTGTCTGGGATCCCCACCACGAACCAGAGTGGTGAGGATGAGCGCAGCAAATAGCTCTCAGATTATTACAGGATGTTTACAAACTGACGCTTGCTGAGGAAACGTCCACAAGCGACTAAGTCATCTTTTTTTTTTTCTTTAACCTCTTATCTAAACAAATGCATGGCAGTCACACATATCCACGGCAGGGTTTGTTCATTAGAAACACATTTCCTGAGTGGCTGTGACACAATTTGACAGAGGCTAACTGAGCATCTGCCAGGTCCCAGACAGGTGCTCAGCTTTGGGGATTCAGCATTGCACAGAAGCAGGCTCTAGTCTCAAGGGGTTCGCTGTCTAGTGGGGGAGACAGGCACTTAAAACGGAGAGTAATGGCTGGCTTAAAGTCAGGGAAGGGAGTAAGGGAGGCTGCTCCAGATTAAAACAGGCATAAAAGGACTCACAACCGAATGCAACATGAAGATGTTGTTTGGATCCTGATTTGAACAAACCAACTGTAAAGGTCATTTCTGAGACAGTCAAGGGCACGTGAATGCGGACTGTGAATTCTGTTAGATGTAGTAATGGCAATGTGGTTATTAAAAAACTGTCCCTTTTAAAGAGATGTACACTGGATTATATAGGGGCAAAATGACATGATTTTGCTTTAAATGACATGACATTTGCTTTAAAATATTTCAGAAAGAAAAGAGAGATGCAGAGGCAAGGGGAAAAAACAGAGAGATGAAGCCTAATGATTTTGAGACAGCATAATCTTGGTGGCTTTTGGAGCAGAGTAATGAGCGTATGGGGATTCATTACACTATTCTTATTTTTAAACAGAGGACTACAATACATCATGGTAGATACCCTATTAGAGACAAGTATAGGTATACAAGGCTAAGGGAATACAGAGCAAAGAGCAAGGAGGACTTAACGGGAACCAGAAAAATAAAAACTGCCATGTTTTTTAGTGTTTTAAATGCTATTTCACAGTGGGGTGAGAAGTCATGCTGACAATTACAATATAAGGTGTGGGATAGTAAGTACAGCAGGGGAGCTGCACATGCCGAGCTTCCAGAGTGCAGAGAATAGTCACAAGGCTTTTCTGGTTTCCATATTGTTGAATTCACCACACATGGACTTCGCTGACACAGACCGAGGCCAGAATCCTAGTTTGTTCACTCACTAGAATCCTAGCTTGGTCACTAGCTAGAATCCTAGCTTGGTCACTCGCTAGCTGTGTGACTGGGGCAAGTTTTAAGCTTTCTGAGTCTCAGTTTTCTCATCTGTAAAATGGAGATAACCTGATCTACTCCTTCAGAGTGCTAATATAAGTGTCTAATAAGATAAAGAATGAAAAGCTTCAGCATGACGAACAGTATTGTCTTCCCTAGCTCTTTAAACAAAGATCCCTTAGCCCTGGTGGGGCTTCTAAGATTAGTAATGCTCAGCCCAAATCTTCTTACACTGATCTCTCCCTCCACACCCCCCCCACCCCCCACCAAGTTCTCCATCAAGACAGGACCTTCACCCTTCAACATTAGGACGTGAAGGAGACAGGCCATGGCTGGGAGGCAAACCCAGGTGGGTGTGTGGACATGGTGGCAGGGAGAATAGAGAAATACCCCAATCATGGGCAGAGAGGGAATAAGCAAATCAGGTGCTCCCTGAGTCTCTGGGAATGGGTCTCCAATGGCTATAGTCAAAACCACACGTAGTCCTTAAGCTGGTTTATACTAATTTGTCACTGACTGGTGTCAGGATAATCATGATTTTTCTCTTGGAAGAGGGGAATGAGCAGAAAGCCAAAGCCCTGAGCCTGAAGAAGGAAGGAGGTGGGGATAATAATGATGTCAATTTTCATTAAAGTATGCTCAAACCACAGATCTCAATCACCCTACAACTATAACCAATATACCCCAACATCCCCCACCCCCACAAAAACACCTAGAATCAGTCCTAAGGTGGGGGTTATTTCAGCTAACACAATCTTCCTAGACAATCCCAGAAGCCAACTCTCAGAGGTCAGGCCGAGTCAATGTGGGAGGCAGACTTCCCAAAAAACTAGTACCTAAACACCAGCAGTCAATCCTCCCCATCACATCATGGCCTCCACCATCCATTGCCCGTGACTGGAGGACAAGTTGGGCAAGGGGTTTGCAGGTTGGGCAACCTGGGCTAACCTGGGTCAGCTCCAGTACTTTTGTCAAAGAAACATCTTCTGACATCCTCGTGGACAGATTCTCTCAAAGGCCAGTCAGCACACATTGGGGCTGTCATCCTCAGAGCAGCACACCCCTTTCCACAGCCATAGGGCAGCAGGAAGAGCACTGGATTTAGAGCTAACAGTTCTCAACCACCTTCTGTGTAACCTTGGACACTTACTCTACCTGAGTCTATTTATGCATCTCTAAAATGGGGAGGGGAGGGCAACACTGTCCTCTTAGAGTTTTTGGAAACCAAAAAAAAACGTTGCCCTGGAGCCTGGAGTCTACTCCAATTCATGGCGACCCCATGTGTGTCAGAGCAGAACTGTGCTCCATAGGGTTTTCAATGGCTGGCTTTTCAGAAGTAGGTTGCCAGGCCTTTCTTCTGAAGCACCTCTGGGTGGACTTGAACCTCCAACCTTTCGGTTAGCAGCCTAGCACATTAACTGTGTGCACCACCCACAGACTCTATTTTTTTTTTTTTAAAGTAATCATGAAATCGACTGTAAAAGTGCCACAGGGTAGGAATTGGCACCTAGTAGGTACTTAGTAAATCTGTCTACCCTCCGTTAGGCAAGTTCTTACTAGAATTAAAGTCTCCAGGACATTGGGCAGGGCTACCCTGGAGACACAGGACAGACTTCTTGGGTCCACTACCCTATGGGAGGGGCTGGGCACACAGGGATTCAGGTGCCAGAGCACCCGGGCATGAAAACGTCAGAGAACCAACTGGCCGCTGGCCTTCCCGCAAGACCTGCCCACAAAGGGGCCAGTTAGTGACTTCATCCCTCATGAAACCATTGAGCAAAGGGCTCCCACAGCGCCACAGGCTCCGCAGGACCCTACACACGTCCAAATAAAAGTTCTTTTCGCTTTAAGAGCCCAGGCTCCTAAATGTGGAAAGAGACACACGTTGACTCTGGTTTCAACACGCCTCTTCCCCATCTAGCAAAGGACGTTGCCAGCTCTGCCTGCGAGGCTAGACTTCGTTAAAGTTGACCCCACCTGCCACAGAGGCAGCAGAGGCTGCTGGCAAGACCCCATCTCTCTCCAGGGCCAGCAGGTAACAGCAGGGAAGGCATCGCGGAAGCTCCGCGTCCGCCACGGCGGGGGAGCCCCCGGGCCTGGAGTAAGCGCAAGCTGCCGACCGGTGCATGGCGCAGAAAGGACAGCACCGCGGCCCCTCCAACTACTGCCACGGCCGAAGCTCCTGACCTGGCCCCAGCCCGCGGCCGGCGAGGCCACTGACATTTGGCCCAACTTAACTTCCTGTTATTACGGGGGGAGGGGAACCGAAGTAAGGGGTGGAGTGGAAGGGACATGAAAGGCACAGAGGCCAAATCGTGGAAAGCAAAGTTTGGGGATGGTCTTATCCCCTGGTGGCAGGCGGTACTGCTGGCGCGTCGCGTCCACTCCGCGTTGACGTTTGGGGGGTTTTTAGGTTTAGAACTACAGGGTTTGAGTGCTGGAGAGCTGAGTAAGGGGTATTTCGGCGTGAGGGTAGAAGGCTTTTATTGCTGTCTAATCGGTTCAGAGACCGGTCAGGGCAGCCCCGCGCTCCCCAGGCAGCGCCACCTGTCCGCCGGGCGCCCTGTGGGGTGGGTTTGAGGCGGGAGATGCTCCGGCCGCACCTGACTCACTCGGACACGGGGCAGGGCGCCGAGTACAGCTGGGATTGGCATAGTCCTCACCCGTGCCCGCCCACCCTCCCCGGAGCCCCGCGCCGCCCCTGCCTTACCAAGAGCCGCGCCGGCCGCCTGGCCTCGAGTCAGCGCCTGCCTCGGTCTTGGGCTGCGGGCGCAGCGGTCAGCACCCGCCGGGCGCCTACGGGGCTGCTAGCGAGGGAGACCGCTCCGCGCAAGCTTTGCTTGAGAGAGCGCCTGCAGCTGCGCGGCGCCGCGGACGGTGCTGGGAACCGCCCCCATAGGCGTCGTGGCCAATAACAGGTAAGCGCGGGGGCGCGGCTCCACCCCCAGACAGAGTCGCGAGGCCAATGGCAGCGTGGCGTGGAGCCCACCCCCGCTCTCTCCCCGCCCCGCCCCCGCGCGGCGTGCTGTCACTGCGGCTGCCGCCGGCGCACGTGGGCTGCAGCTTGGCACCGAGGGCAGAGAGTCGCCAGGCGCTCCCATCCTGACCAGTGCACGTCCGAGAGCAAATGGGGGCGGGAGTGGTCGTGCTGCGATTTGAAACGCCGAGTGCTAGTAGCCTGGTGTCATGGGAGAGGCAAGGGCTGGGCCTCGTGATCCTTGTCCTGGGTAGCTAGAAGGCAAGCCTCAGCGTCCCCTTTTGGACATCGGAGCCATATAGCACTTACAGTACTGACTGTGTACACCCTCTGGTTTTCCCTCCTTGCTTTGCTCCTGACCACCCTGCGTTGCAGCAAACTGGTCTTAGGATAAAGCTGGTGGGAAGACGGGCAGTGGTGCACACCACTTACGTTAAACAAAGAACAACAGAAAAACCAAACTCATTTCTCTAAAGTCGATTCCAACTCTTGGCAACCCCATGTGTTACAGAGTAGAACTGCTCCATAGGATTTTCTTGGCTGTAATCTTTATGGAAGCAGATGGCCAGGCCTTTCTTCCGCAGTGCTGCTGGGTGGGTTCCAACTGCCAACCTTCAGGTTAGCAATGGAGTGCAAACCATTTGCGCCACACAGGGACCTTACCACTTACGTTACCTTGGCCAAACGACCTAAACACTCTCTTGTCTGTCAAATCAAATGTCTATCATAACCTCCTTCCTGGGTTGCCCATACCCTCCACGGCTCCAGACTCAAGATGGTGCCATTCACAGAAATTACAGTGTGAATGGTGTGGGGCCTAGTGAAGCAGTTTTGTAAACAGTAAATGCTGCAAAGCACCTTGTACAGACTGTTCTGGCAGCAGCGATTGTGAAACGGGTCCACGAGGGCAGGAACTATGTCTTACTCACCTTTGGGGCCCAGGGCCAATCACAGGGCTTGGCCCAATGTCAGCATCAATCAACATTCTTTGAGCTGAGCTGAGGTGGGCCTGAGGACCCAGGGGTAGAATAGGCAGGCTTGAGAAGTGAGAAAACATATTGTGGCTCCAGGCTGCTGGAATTTCCACAGCACCAGACCACCCTCTGGGGAAACCATGTTCCCTCTCCAGGCAAGTACAAACAAAGCAATTCACCCCACTCAAACCTGGGCTTATTTTTCCCCTGTTCTTCACCCTGTCATCCCATTCTCCGCCTTTTGGGTTTTCTCAGGAATTATCCTACCTGGCAGCTCTCTTAGCATCATAGTCTGATCACCTTCCTGCAGTCGTGCATTTGCAAGACTCAGGGCCACTCCTCAGGGTTCACTCCATTCTGATGGAAGGCTGCCTGTGATACTGATGTAGTGTGCTCTCTACACAGATTTTCTCGTTCAGTCCTGACAATGGCTCTATAAGGTGAGTATTTTTATTATTATCCCCTTTTACAGATGTGGAAACTAAGTCTCCAACTGAGACTTACCAAGGTCACATGGTTAGTATTACTGAGTCTGGATTTGAACCCAGCTCTATCTGATTCCAGAATCTGCACCCCTAACCACTGTGTCTTGGGGTCTCTCCAGCCCTGCCCATGCCCCGGGAGCACTGGAAAGCCCAGATCTATTCCTGAAAGAACTGCTCTGGGGCCAGACCCTTCTACCGCTAGTCCATCCAAACATTCTACTGAGCTCAGGCCTGGGCCTGGGCATTGTCCAGAAGAAGAGACCCAACCAGCCTGGTCCTGTCTCATTTGCAAAGTGAAATAGAAAACCTAAGACAGAAAGGAGCTTCAGGAAAAGTGCTCCCTCTGCTCTCAGCTTGAGTTCACTAAACACAGGGCCACTTGCTTCTGGCCTGAGCCTGAGGCACCCATGCTGGGGATGGATATGGAGTCAGAGCCATTTACTCATTTAACAAACGCTACTGTGAGCTACATGTGGTTTCTGTGCTTGCGCAACTCAAGTGGAACAGATGAATAATCAGAAGTACATGGTGCTATGAGAGTTGGATTCTTTATTACTTTTATATTTAACATTTTCCATCACCTTATCTATAGCACAGTGTTCTCCCTTCAAATTAAAACAAATTTAATACTATTTCAGGAACACTCTGAGCCAACCAAGTTTAGCAGAGATAGCGCTGCTCCCCTAGACGTTTTATTAGCTCAAAGAATGAAACATGAATGTTTTCCCAGGACCTCTTCCTCCTCTACCCCACCCTATCGCCAATCCTTTTAGGGTAGGTGGTTCAGATAAAAAAGACCCTTGCTAGGTAGGTCTGAGGGCTGGTGGGTGAGCTTTTCCTTAGATGTAGGCCAAGCTAAGAGCTGATCAGGACTAACCGCATAGAGAGAGATGAGACTTGGGTCTTCTTGAACCAGCAGACAGAGCCCCTCACTGCCATACACCTTGCTGGCCACCTCCCTGGGGGGCAGGGAGGAATGAGGACAGAATGTCAGAACTTTCCCCCCTCTGGACAAAGCTTAAAGCTTTCAACAGTAGCCATGAGATATCCTAGTGGGCTATGACAGTGTCTGGATGTTGATACAACTAAGCTCTTCAAAGAAAAGATCATACAATGTTAGGGTGGACCACAGAAGAAATATCACCTAAGGCCCTCACTTAACAGATGAAATAAATAAAAAAGTACATGGAAACCCAGAAAGGGGAAGGTACTTGTCAGGGACACGGGGTTAGTTAGTGGGTTTCAGGTCTCCAACATCCCTTCCTAGCTCTTAACATGCTAGGCAAACTCAACCTCCTTATGTAGCAGCTCAGTATTCTATATTTAACAGCAACCTCTTCCCAAGCCCACTCTTCTAGGATGGTGATGTGTGCTCGTGAAGGTTGTCTGGGAGATGCAGATGGCCACGTTAGCATCTGAGGGAGGGAAGAAGGAAGGTCCAGATTCACCCCTAAAAATATCTCCACCTCAGACTGGAAGCAATGGGGCTCAAAGGCACCAGGCATCCCTCCCCCTGAAAGAAATACAGCTGGTGATCTGCGTCATCTTCCGTTATTCACCTGATCGTGCTCCAAGATGGCTGTGGGGATGTCAGGCCTGGCTTCCTCTTGTTCTTAGCCTAGCAAGTTCGTTGAAGAAAAGTCAGAGTTGAGCTCAGTAGATTCCTGTCACAGAGATTTTCTGTAGAGAAGTCAAGGTGCCTCTCACAGTGTTTGAATGGTAAGAAACAGAGTTGCTTTCTGTGCCTCCCTGTCTAAATGAAAAAGGGTCCATGTCCTCGAACCAGAGCAGGGATCTCTTCCCCACTTATAGATGTCCCAGGAAGGAGAAAATGAGGAGTGTGGTTCCCGCTGGCTTCCTCCCTGTCGTGGATTGAATTGTGTCCCCAAAAAAATGTGTGTAGCAACTTGGCTAGGTCATGATTCCCAGTATTGTATGATTGTGTTATCTGATGTGATTTCCTTATGTGTTGTAAACTCTATCACTAGGATGAGATTATATGTGATCTCCTTATGTGTTGTAAATTCTATCACTGTGATAAGGTTATACTGATGAGGTTGACAAGATTAGATAGTGTCTTAATGCAATCTCTTTTGAGATATAAAGGAGAGAAGCGAGCAGAGACGCAGAGGAACTTCATACCACCAAGAAAGCAGTGCCGGGAACAGAGCGTGTCCTTTGGGCTTGAAGTTCCTGCGCAGACAGAGACTCCCAGACCAAAAGAAGACTGATGACATGGACCTTCCTGCAGAGCCAACAGAGAAAGCATTCCCCGAGAGCTGAAGCCCTGAATTTGGACTTGTAGCCTCATGGACTGTGAGAGAATAAATTTCTCTTTGTTAAAACCATCCGTTTGTGGTTTTTCTGTCAGAGCAGCACTAGATGACTAAGATACTCCCCAAGCTGCCATCAAAAGGCCTTGGTCTTTCAGAAAGAAGTGGATGGCTGGTATCTCTACAGAAAGTGAGTGACCTTGTAAAATGATGAAAAAATGCCGATTGGACCCAGGTCACCTTAGGAGCTGTCTTTGGAGAATGACTTTCTAAGCCAGGAAGTGGAAACATTTGTACCTCCCTCAGACAGACTCAAGAGTATATAAAAAGCAAGATCATAGGGCCTGGTTCTAGCCTATTATCATCCTGATTGGCCTCACAATGTACCATTTTTCATGGACAAGGAATACACAAGTTTTAAGGTCACTAAGAACTCATCATGCTTACCCCACTTTCAGTGGATTTTCCAGAGGCAGTTTGGAGAAATGGCTCCTGTCTGGGACCTGCCAAAGTCAGTAATGCCCTAAGAGGCACCTCAGCACTTTGGGGATTGTGTATATGTTGCCAGCAATGGTGGGAAAGTTGGTGCTGGAGAGCTGAGTCCAGGCAGGCACCAACCAGAGCAAATGGAGAGAGACAAAGAGTGCATGTGCTGAAGGGAAGAGGAAGAGTCAGGGCATCGCTTAAGTAGCCCAGATCCAAATAGACATGTATACACATATACATATGGCTCAAAGTCAATTGTGAAATCCAAGGGCATAATTCTGGTCCCTAGAGACACAAGAGAACAAAACCATACCACAAACCCAGTGCACCTTCCTGGTGGGCTGAGCCACACCTAGAGTCCAGGCAGACCCTGTTCACACATACCTGAAGCCCATTCCAGAACATACTGCGGTAATTGAATGGCACTAGGGAGGCAACTCTTAACTTCTGCTCCCAGACCCTCTACAGAACAGCTGCCTAGGGACAAGGACAGGAATGCTCTTCTCTACTCGAGCCCACTGGGAGACTCACTCAAGTCCATCTGTCTATCCATCCATCATATGTCCATCCCACAAATATGTACGGTTCAGTTATTCAAAGAGGTGTCGTAGCTAGTAGTTAACA